TTGCCCTCTTTTTGTTGGAGGATGGAAGATTTTCTGCCAAGGTTTGCAGGCCAATGGCTCGAGGCTGATCAGCGCTGTTTTTGATCACACGACGTTTTTTTTAAGCAACGCTTTGTCCAGCATGAATCCGTTGAAGCCACTGGTGACCTGTGGCCCTTCGGCTATCGCTTGGACTTACTCCTTTGCTAACCAATGTCATTTGATGGATTCGACATCCTCTAAGAAGATCTCACAGCGAGCAGCTGTTCTTTTCTCTCCCCAGTTCATGACTCTTCAATCCGTCCTCGGCCAGCAAGCACTGTGCAACTGCTTCTGGTCACTTCACTGGCCGTACCACCCTGGTGACCACCCCCCCTTTCCTCACGTCCGCAGTCCCGTGACCCACACACACCCCGCTGCAACCAGGTCGGGCTTTTAGCCAAAGCCTTCCCAGTTTCAAGGTCGACCTCCCCGCCCCGCGCAGCTAGGCCGGGGTCTCCCGGTGCTTGGTTGGTGTGCTTGCTTGGGGAAGAGGTTCTAATCGGTTTGTGTGGGTGAAAACTCTTCCGGGGACTATTCGTGTGTTTTTCTCCCAGTTCCTTGACAACGTTGAGCATCTCCAAAGTCATAGATAGGGGTGGTGGCTTGAGAAAGGGAATCCATGATGCCATAGGGATGGTGCCATGATATCCTTCTTCCAGTCCCATGAGGCCACCATGCTCAGGACGAAGCACCCTGCAGGACCTGGGTGGAAAAGTCCCCAACGGTTCCATGGTGGCGAAAAGGATGCCCCGGTCATTCACCAGCAAAACTACTCTCCCCGGAACTAACATGGAAGTGGAAAACCACTTGTTTGTAGTGGAAAATGGTCTTCCTTTCGGAGCCATTCTCCACGTAACCGTGTTAAATCCAGTGAGTGTAGCAAGAATGCATTGAAGGTAGGCCCATCTTGGCACCGGCATGGGATCATTTGGGAGCGAGGCTTCCAACTGGCCCGATTGACTCCGTCACGGCATCTGAGAGTCGACGAGAATCTGCGTAGAAGCCCTTAAGATGAGGATCCCTATATAGGGCTGTAACTGCCTTCTGAGAAGGTGGTTAGGATGGGTGCTGGGGGGGGTTGTGCCCACCTTCTGAAGGTATATGGTTGGAGCCCTATGGATAAAAAGATAGTGCTGTATACTGAAAGTTTGCTTAGTGGCCCTGGTGAAGGCTCTCTTTTCCTCAAGGGTTGCCCCTGCCAGGAAGCTTGAAGCTCGCGTCGGGTCGGCTGGCAGCATTGGCCCTGAAGAGGGCTGAATCGAGCCGTTGGAGCTACTCATCTGTAGAAGCTCTCAATACGTCTCCAGTTATGGCCATGAGCACAGCAATGAGGAGGTGAGAGAGAAGGTTAAGCTTGTTATATATACTTGTTTTTGAAACTGATGGAAAGAAGGTGTCTTTCGAACTGGAGAGGTGTGGTCCGTTTTTGGGATTCGCTGGAAACCTCGCACGCTTGATGCTGCGTAGTGGGGATTCGAGGGTCAGCTGGCCGAGCAAGCATCAGCATGAAGCTGAGATGCTTTTGGGAGAACTTATCTGATGATCACTCCCAGGAACAATAATGTTCATCCCGTTGCCATATGGCTGTTGCTCAGGAAGGAGCGACTGAGGGTCGTTTGGGGCATCCATATTCCCCCATTAAACAAGGAGCCGAACTCAGAGACCTAAAGGGAGCCTCCAACCCCTGGCTGGTCTATCAAAACTCTTTTCTGCGTTTGGCCAGAGGGCAGGGTAGCAGAGGGCATTTCAGTGGAGATGGGACCTTTTGTCTCAAATCAGAAGAAGCATCCGTTTGCAGTGGACCAACTTAACTCTAATCCAGGGTGTGTGTTTGGTTCCTTTTAAGTGTGGACTCAACTTTTTTGGGGATTGGTTTTGTTGTGTCATATATTGGGTACGATTTTTGACATCCACTGTCAGAGCTTTTTGAAACTGCAAGCAAAGGCTCAACACACAGATAGATGCCATCCGGCCATCCCATGCAAATCCGATGATAAGAATGAGCACGTGTGAGCAGATCAAGTTCCACTTCTTCACCCGGCGGTTCATGGCTTTGTTTGTGCGGTTCGTTCGGCATGGCCGGTTCCTGTCTCTAGCAGCGCAGCAGTGCATGTTCATGGATTCAACACACCCTAATTGTGTGTTTCTTTGAAATATCGTGTGGTCATCCGGGGCGTAAGGCCAAGAGTTTTCAGGATCCATTTAAGAGCGCTTTAGTCTCAAGCGCCTGACGAAGAGGTGAGGGAGGAGGGTGTGGTGCTTCAAGGGATCAAACGCGCGCAGCTCAGCGGTGTTTGCACCTGGCCCTGCCTCAACCTCCAAAACAAAGAAAAGGCAGCCAGGCAACCGTGTCCAACGAAGAAAAGCTCTCCCTTGGTCCTGATGTCCTCGTCTTTTTTGCTTTAGAGTGATCGTTGACCACGTCCGCTGATCGCTGAAAGAAGAGGTCGACTGGTCGCCACTTTGTACGTCATGCATGGAAGGCACAGCCTCCCTCAATCTCTTTGGTTGGAGACTATTATATATGTAGGCTTGGAGGGCTCAATTACCTTCTGAGAAGGTATGTGGATCCATAGGAGTTGGATGTTTTAACGACTCTTCTTGTCCAGATTTCCTGAGATGTCGGACTGTTCCACTAGCTTGTGGAGTGTACCTATCGGGGACATCTCTGGCATAAATCAACTAGGTCCATTCCTTGGGCTGTTAAGATCCATTATTCCATTACACTCAGGCAGATGCCAGGGATGACGAGTTCGTTAAGAGCCCAGCGCCCATGGTTGTAGAATGAGCCAACTGGAAAACACAAAGACATGATACCACATCGAGCATTGACCACCTTATGGTCCATTGTGGAAGACTTCGGCCAGACTTTCCGGATACTGCATGGTTGTTGGAACAGCCAAGATGGAAACCCGGATCCGTCACCAACCAGACGAGCCCGGGGCCGTTACATTCCTCCACACGGCCTAAGCTGCGAAGTTGACTGGTCAGGCATGTGGGGGATCGGAAATGAGAGCCTTTGGTCCAAGTATGTCCAAGTGAAATGCATCCTTCAGGGTGATTTGGACCCCGAACATCACCTTCAGAAGGTCCCCCCAAAAAATTCAGCCTTTTCCCGGTTGGGTCGGTTAATGGACACTCCTGACACCTCTTTCGGGCTGATCAAACCCCAGGTCCTTTTTGTTTAGGACTGCTGCGACCTGCGGAGCTGCGCAGGGTCGACCTGCGCCGGCGGCCGCGGGCATCGATCACGGAGTTGGGACGCCCCTCGTTGACGAAGTCATCGAGGTCAGGGTCGGTCCGGTGCCCCCGCGGCACGCGGGGGACAGAAACAGCTGTCTGCGGTCGAAGGGGACTGCTGGCTTGAGTATGCTTGAGTTCATTTATGAGATGAGATATAGCATGTTCTGATGGGGAAGATGTGGATTCATCAACCAGCAGCAGTGGTTTCGTTGTTGCATTGTGGACATCGAGGTGTTTGCTTCGGTGAGCCTCACCGAAGCAACGCGGCGGGTCCGCGACGCTGACGCGACGCAGGTCCGCCGCGACGCGTTCGCTCGTGCGTGCCTGGGGGGCCTCCCAGATGTGAGAGTCCTTATTATTAGACTGACACTCCAGCAGTTCCACGTTGGGATGCTTAATGAAGTATACGGGTGTCACCGGGTGTCCAGAACATCCACTCAAAAACAATCACTTTAAAAAGCATCCCTTTGGAACTGTGGGGCTTAGTTTGCTTCTTCGCATCTCGGAAAAAAGTGCGCAAAAGGTTCGGAGTGGACCCAAGATTGGCATTGGGATGCATTGGGTTCGAAAAGGAAAAGGTAAAAACATGGGAAAAACCACACACACAAAGAGAACCGTTTGTTGATGGCTTTCTACTCTATCTAATTAATTACGTTTTTTATCGTGTTTTCTAGCGTTGGAATCGAACCGAGAGAAAACCGACCCCGAACCACCCGTTGGATTCTGTGGGGAGCAGATTCTGTGGGGCTTACCTGACCTGAAGGCATGTTTCTGCTTCTTGAGTGAGCTGGCATTCCTGGAAGAGCCATCAGCTTCCCGTTTGGGATCCAGTCGCACCGTCTCGTTTCGGTTCGGTGTGACGACCGGGCACCCGGGTGCCAGGGAGGTACGTCCAGTCATACCGAACCGGAGGCACGACGGAGCCCTCTACGCGCTAGACATGTCCACCTCCAACCCGAGCCATTGGTCATTCCGCTGGTCCTGGTCCGGCCCCGCAGCGAAGGTGTCCTCTTTCCCGTGCCCCTTTGGTTCGAAAGCGGTCAAGGCTCCTTCGCCGCCGGAAGCGCGAGGAATCAATCCTGCGCTCCTGAGATGCCTTCTCCGTGGCAGATCCCGCCTAGTTCGACGACCCTGGAGGACCACACTGCACTGGCTGGACTCGCCCCAAGAAGACCATTGGCTGAGGAGTCGAGGACCATTGGGTGTGACTCACCTGGTGACCCACCTGGTGTCGGTTAGAACTGAAAAAGCGACAGCCATGTAGACTGATGATATTCTTTGCCGCCCATGTCTTAAGAGGGTGTTCCAATTCAAATGCGGGGGGTACTGTAAATATATCATCAAGAGTCCACATCAGAGTGTCCATCGATATCAAGTTCCATCAACTGATGCCAGTATAGGTCGGAGCCAAATGCTCGTTCTTTCCAAATGGGTGACACGTGTGAGAGGGTGGAGTGAGAAAACACTCAGGAAAGAGTGGAGAATGCGGAGGGTGCAGAACTCCAAGACAATCCATACAAAATTTGGAATACCCTATGGATCCATATAGACTCTGAGAAGGTGGCAGCGGATCCCTAGGGATAGAATATGATAAACCAATACCCAAGCACCTCCACGGACTGGCATAGCCAGACCGATCAGGTTATGGGTGGGTTGAAAAGATTGAAGGGGTCAATGTCGGCAATAGATTCCAGTCCCGTAATATATAATAATATATACATCATAATACCAATATAATATATTTTTATATATTTTATGAATAACACAAATAACCTTTAAACTATCCAAATCCATCTCTTGTGTCGGGGTTGTGGACTGGCCACTCCGGCGGTCGCCAGCCGTGATTTGTGGGCTCGAGCTTCCGTCCAACAGCTGCTCCCAAATCCAGGCAGCTTCGGGAAGGACAGGCAGGGTGACTAATTGGCAGCCCTGGTAGGCCCTGGCAGCTGGCTTACCAATGATGACCAGATAGGAACGTAAATCACCTTGAAGAACATTGTATGTATCATGTTTAGTGGGTCGTGAAGCTACCTCAAGAGCGAGTCCCTTTGCTGGGAAATTGTTTGTTTGATCCAGTTTCATCATGTCTAACCCAGTTGTTCACGAGGGTCTTCTGACATGGGTGTTTTTTGCGCAAAAACAACGTGTTTGTCGCAACAGTGCCACTCATGCAACACCTTGGCCAAGCCACGAACCCACAGCGCTCAAGCACGAACCCACAGCACCTCAAAAGACACCGCAGTAGGTCTAGTAGAAGAGATCCGCAGAGTTGTGAGCTCATGCTTCTGAAGTTTCATGAGTCATGAAGTTGCCAGTAGCGGCCAGCATGTGCTGAAGTGACCAGTTTCCTCTTTTAAGATTCACCCCATTCTGGCTGGGTCGTTGAGGGGAGGAATGCCTTCTGAGCAGGGGATGGTGACCAAAGATTGCATGTCGGATGTGTTCAAACACGTTCCCTCCCTGATTCTGCCTCATAAGATGTTGCAGTTTGTTGATCTGAATTGATTCACTTGTTTAATTGAGCATGGACCACCCTCGAAGGCAAACGTTTGGGCCCTCCAAATAGCACGGAGGTCTATTCTCCGGGTGCTGAACGATGCTTTTGAGCACTTTTGAGCAGATGCCTCAGCACAAGCAGTCAACCCTCATCTCACCTAAGCAGGACACTTTTTCACGAAACTGTAGCCACTTGCCTTGTCACACTCTCAAGTACTTGAGGTGCTGATTGGTTGAAGGATTCATTTGAGCTGGTTGTTTTTCTTGTTAGAACCTTAGACCATCCGTGCGACTGGACATTCATGACTCAATTGACCCATCCATGGTGGCATCACTCTTCCAGTCTTTCCATCGGACCGATTTGGAGACCCCCCCTCCACCTGGCCCCGCCCCATCACAGTCCGTCCCACCCCGCCAGTGCGAACGCATGGCGGGCTTGGTACGGGAGCCCTTCGCGAAAAACGCGAACGGGCGGGAAACGTACGCTCTTCGACCCGGGGCCGTGGAGAGATGCACTCCCAGAAGGCCAAGAAGGCTGACCAAGAAGGAAGGAGCAAGACCTTCCCTTGACCCAAGGGTGGTGGGCCTTCCTGGCCTCACTCCGAACTCACATGGAAGTGGAAGATGGTTCGTTGGAGGACCAGAGCTTCCTGGCCGCTCAAAGGAGAGCAACCTAACCTTTAAACACCATTTAGGGACAGTAAGGGTTTAAGGTTGTTTTTCCCCATCCAAGAGGAGTCACCTACCTGAAAAACCATCTATGGGGACATGTGGGGAGTGTCCCACTCCAATCCAGCAGGCCGAAGAAGGTGAACCATGGTAAAACGTTAACGTTTAGAATTTATAATCCTGTGGGTTCTTGATCAGGAAATCTCTCCAGTTTGCCAGGGCTTTTGCAATCCCAATGGGGTGGTTGTATCCATCAAGAAGCCAGAGATAGCCACAGGAGTAATGAAACGCCCTCTTTGTTTCAGCAAAAAAGCTGAATGAAAAACACCCGCTTTGTTTGGGTGTACGTCACTCCGACCTTAGGTGAGGCCCCCACCCTCAGGAGTCGAAACCGTGGTCCACAAGACTCAGGTGGCCGGCGATCCTGAGAAGCAGTATGAGTGGCACGAGACGTACCGCGCAGCCCGGCCCGAAGCGAGTTCGGACAACGGAGCGACGGAGGGGCCCAGCGTTAGACCATCCACCAGGACCATCCATCGCTCAACCAACGGGGGCCTCCAGATGGCAGCATCCCTGAGGGGAAAATCCCACCGGCCCGCAGCAGGGCAGGGGTTCGGGCCGAAGTCCCCTTTCGCCAGGGGGGGGTCCAGAGCCAAAACCAAACTCTATATGTGTTTTTCTTTGGGGCTGGATTCTTAGGGTGCACGTCTTAGAAGTACATTGGAAAAGACCAGAGAAGAAGGATGACCAGAGAGACTATTGGTGAGCCTGAGATATTTGTTGGTTACTGGTGGCAAAATCTCACCACAGCATGATGTGCAATTTCCGTGCTCTGAAAGCAACAAAGCAGCCACAACCTGGGAGTGAGTTGTAACAGGGTGGGGGCAACATCTCAGGATTGGAATCCCGACCAGTCTCGCTACATTTATATTTGCATTATTCGATGTATTAATATATATATATTGTTTATAAATAGATATGGACGTACGTATATACATGCATACCATACATATACAGCCATGGACTTAAACCAAAAGTGATCATCAAGACATACCAGGACCTTCCAACTGAACTCCTTGCCTTTCGACCAGGTCCATCCCATCCCCACTCTCCGCAGCTCGCACAAAGGAGGCACTGGTCGCAGCCGATCATTTTGGTTTGTCCCTCCCCTGCCTGAGGACTTCATGAAGAACATGTACCGCACCTCGTATGATGACATGGCCAAAAACCGGGAGGCACCCCGTTTTTGCGCAGCTTTTCGTTGGAGATTGAATGAAAGGGCGTCCTGCAAATCAGAGCGAGAACACTAGCCAAAGGATTAAAACAGAAGGACGCAAGTGCGAAAAGCCATGGTTAAATGGACGTGGAACTGATCCCGGAAAACTCATCGTTGGCGTGTCGTTTCAGCGTTTGTGATGGCCACAATTAATGTAAAGAGAACACCTTGGCAAGGTCCCAGCGGAGCTGTGTTTTTTTTGTTGGATGATGATGATGATGATGATGATGATGATGTCGATGATAGTTGGGGCCTCCAACCTGTTTGACCGCTTCCTTTTCCAACCGCACTCTTTCGCCGGCTCGAGACGGGTCTCCCCGTCCTCTTCATCGTGGGTGTTTCTGCTTGCGGGACCTCGCCAGGTGCATGTGAAGAGCGACCTGCCCTCAGGCTTCGGAGGCGCAAGTCGGTCCGCCGAGCGGGCGCCAGGCAGCTCCGGGCAGTTGGGGAACATGTCGAGCTTGAGCGAGCGAAAGCTCTCTATGTTTGTCCCCAAGAAGTTGCTCTAAAGGAGCAGAGGAGGAGAATCAGGGGCTATGAGATTTATCATATGTTACATGTTATCCAAGTTGTACTTTGGGATTGTTCGACCCTTTGGTTGTTCATTTCAGGTGCTCTTTGCGCTACCAGTGTGTCAGTCGTGTGATTGCTTTGATTCTTATATATATATATTCCCATGGAGCCTTTCTGTTTCACCAGTGTTGCAGCTCCTGATTTCCTCCGAACACCTTTTCTACACTCCACCACCCGCCCGGTCGCAGGGCACGTGCCATCCGTGCGCCATGACATCCTCTTCCGGAACACGGCGTGGGGAAGCCATGGGAAGCCTTGGGGGCAGCGTCCAAAAGATTCTCACGGCAAGCAGGATGTCAAGAACCAAGTGATGCAAACAGCAGTTGAGGTGGGTCCTTAGTTACATTCTGCTTGAGAGGCCTCTTGAACCAATGTGTGGTTTGTTTGGGCCTCTTAACCAACTTAGGTATCGGTATGTGCTCTTCCAAGTTTAAGAGACCCGGATGAAGCATACCTTTGGCTGCCCAAAAACAGAACAGTATCAGCATGCGCATGCTGTCATTTCTTCCCAAGTCCTCTTCTTGAGGACCTACGTTCGCTTGCCCTTACAGAGGCTTGACCAACATGGGATTTGTTAGAATCTGCACCGAAGGCACTCCAGTGCGGGGAGGTCTGAGCTCCTACAACCGCGGGTTCTCCAGAGCTGTTGGACTGAACGGTCTTTGTTCTCTTTTTCCGGTCGATCCATCGTTGGGAGGGCTTGGGGTTTTCTCGTTGATCCTGCCGGGTTGGTCATGGTTCCAACACGTTTTGCCGGATCGAGCTCAGCAACCGGGTTCTTCAAAGTGACCCAGACTGAGATCGCGGGTGCTTCGGTCGCTGACGATCAGCTAGCTGGGGCCCTCAAGTTTGGCCACGAACTGAAGAAGCTGGAAGTCAAGATACCTACCAGGACCATCCAATGGTTGTCCAATGGACTACTCTACCCTACTTACAGGTCTCCGTAGGGCACCTGTTGGAAGTGCTAGGTATTTTTCCTTTCGGCCTTGCCTCAAGAAGATCTCCACCAGTCTCAGGTTCGACCGCGCGCAAGAAGCGCTGCGGACGGACCCAAACCGCGGCTCGGCGATGCACGGGCACCAGCGAGCTGGCTCGGGTGGGGCAGCGCTGCCAACGAGTGGAGCTAAGCCGACGGACGGATCCATCGGCCCAGACACGACCCATGGGACTGCCATATAGCTACATTATCCTGGGATGGTTTTGGGAGTCAATGGGGCGGCATATATGACAGTCCCATGGAGTGTTTGGGAAGTAGATGCCGCCTGGCACGTTGCCCCGATGTCGCGCCCACCCAACTGGGACGAGAGTTTTCGATGCTGAAACCGGTCATTCAGACGCCCTCCACGAGGTGGACGGTCGAAAGGTGTCAAGGACAGGCAAAAGCAAACATGGGAAAGGGCTTCAAGACTGGTGATTCAGTGCTGTGAAGCAACTCTTGCGATGGCAGTCAGAGCGGCTTCACCAGATGGCTGCAGTTTCACTTTGGTTGGTGAAACCCAGGGCTCCGAACTCCTCGTTGTTTTAGAGGCCGTAGGGCTCTAGTCGTACCTTCGTTTCGAAGGTGTTTGGCGTGGGTTGTGATACCTTCTGAGGAGGTACGACTGGAGCCCTAGGGAGGGGTACCAGGGATTGTTTCGGAACGCTGAAAGATCCTGAGGTGTTCGTTCTGCAGTCCTGTTCCTGCACAGGACTTTTGAGGTGCTCAGAGCTGACGACAAATGTTTGTAAGCAACAGTGCACTTAATTAATAGTGGTCCCCAAATAGATAGTGGCACGGTGTCCAAATGCTTAATCATGTTTATAGTGGGGATCTAATTGCTCTCCTATCAATTTGGTGGTCTAAACTACAAAACAGAGTGCAGTTGCCACCCTAATGACCGAAATCCTGGACCCATAAGCATTGTGATCACAATAACCTGAAACGAAGCAACATCAGTCAACCAAGAAGAAACCGGAAAAGACCACTCTTCGTGTGGCGGGCCCCTTTTCGAACAGAACTGGCCAGCGGTGACCGATTCTGTGAGTGATGTTCGGCCGGCAGCCAGGGGGTTTTCTGAATCTTTGTCAGTGGCCTTGGCCGATTGGGTTGATTGGGGCCCCGTAGAAACCTTGATTCACAGTGACCTTCCAGCAGAGGTTAAAGAACCCGCCTATTAGACTATCCGATGACTATCCCATAGGTACCCTAGCAGGGTCCTAGTAGTTCAGGTCACTTAACATCTTTTGGTTTCTACGGGTTCAAGGAGGAGGCGCCTGTCCAAGGCGCCTTCGCTCCCCGCCACCGCAAGCCAGTTCCAGGGTCGTTTTTTGTGTCTCGCACGTTTGCCACTAACCACGGCAAGGCAGATGGGGTTCAGACTAGAAGCATGATTGTAGTGTAGGACTTCAATCCTTCTTTTTCGAAAGCTGTTTGTGCTTGGTGTCCTTGGCAAAGGTGTACAGAGGATTGTCATCACTGGCTCCTCTTATTCCTGGAATGCCAGCGCAAGCGGTCTCGGTTTTCATCCGGTCTTCTCGTCGATGTCACGACTGACTGAGATCGACTGCTGACCGAAGGCAATGAAAGGTGACCGTAAAGATTTCCATATTTTCTGATGGATCCGCTGCCACCCTGATGGATCCACTGCCACCCTGATGGATCCACTGCCACCCTTTGATATGGTGATCAGAGGTATTTATGCGCCAGGAGGGTCCAAATATCTAAGAAGGTACTTGGATAAACACCGAAGAAGGCACTTGGATCCCTAGGGGGTCTAAAGTCCCTGAGTCCCAGGTGATGCTCGACCCTCCTTTCAGGCCAGAAGCTTAGAATTTGGCGAAGGGCGATGTCCATGGATCTACAGGATGCATGGTTAGTCCATCATGATTCAGAAGATGATACATAATCATTCATGTTTGGAAGCTGTCGACTAGCAGGTGGGGTTGCAAGTGACTTCGGATGACTTTTGGCAATTGAAGGACTAGCACATCAGCAAGGACTGAGCACCATTCTTTAGAGGCTCGGAGGGATTTCCGACCTCTCAAAGTCTCCCGATATCTATATGAATCCCTTTCCGCCCCACAGCAGTCGCACCAGTCGAGTGCTCTCAGAGCTTGAAAACGCTCTGGGTCGAGGCAGCTCCCAAAGACCAAAGAGCGGCACTAGACCCCTTCTTGCTTTGAGATCTGAATTCACACTAGCTATACATATTGTATCATCCTGCGCAATTTTCTCTAGAGGTTGGACCATCCAGGCTTCTGGCTTTTTGGCCCTTGGATTTCTGTAGCCCAGGAAGTGGGCATTTACTGGAGTTGATCATGCCTATAGAACCCAACAGAAACTACTCAATGAGTTAAATGACAGCTTTTACTGGGTTTTTTGACCTGTAAGATCCTGTAAGTAGGTCCATTTGTTCCGGCTACGGTCCTCTATGGTGCATTTCCTTCCAAATCCTTCGACCATTCGACCGAGGACCACATCGCAGGGATCCCCTCCACGCCCCTCCCACGTGGAGCCCGCAAGCCTCCGAGCTACGGGGTGGTACCACACGCGCCTCGGCACGGCGGTACGGCCTGGCCGAGGAGGGGATGGGAGGCTTCAGTGGGGGCTTCTTCACGTTTTGGTTTACCACGCCAGGTTTTGGCAAATGGTTGAGGCAAGAATAGCCATTCCATATGATGTCCTTCAGATGCTGGTGCCATGAGATCACCATAAAGTGTCCTTTGGTGCTCACCCAATTTTGCAAACCACTTTGGGATTTGAGCTTGGGGCCTGCCTTCTGCGTCACTGCACCAGCCGCTTCCAGCGGGCGCAAGACACAGCGGAAGCTGAGGACGGAACGACGACCATGCTGAAGCCGCCCTGGGGAGTCATCACCACGCGGAACTTTCCCTTGAGCGGCTCGCCACCTGGGTGGTCCGCGTGTCCTGCCGGGGGCATGTGGTTGATTTTTTTACCAGGGCAAAACAAAAACAGAACCTGCTAAGAAGTTTGTTTTTTTTTCCTCACGGGAGTCCTCACGTCACTTCTGAGGACAGGAGATGGATTCGTAGAGGGCCTAGTGACTGACAGTACTCCTCTAGTGACTCTAGTACTGAGGGGTTGGAGTTTATTTTTCCAAGACGTGAGTCAGAGTGTCATTTCTCCTTTGTTGCTTGGACATTTGGCTGAAGCACATTTGCATTGCATCCTGCAGTATAGTATAGGACCGGCCTCCATGATTTCAAACTTGGCACAGGCTACAGAGAGGTCAGCCCTCCGCCCCACTGAAAGCCGTGCGAAACGCTGAGCTCGACAGCTCCTTTGGGCGTCTCCGCTGCCGCGCGGCTGTGGTGGTGGAGTACTTCGAGACGTTTTGGTGCAAGGTGAAATCGACACTAAGGCTTTACATCACTAGGCCTTGCCTGAGAGCATTCTTGAAAGAACACAGCTCGCTTTGTATCGCAAGAGCCGTGAGAAAAATTTGTGGACGGCACGAGACTTGTTCCGTTGCGAACTCGCTTACAGGGATTGATGGGTTTCTTTTGCGTTCGAGGCTCCGCGAAAGATCCAGCGGCGGCGAAAGCAACGGCCGACGGGCGAGGAAACCTTCGAAAGGAAGACCACTGCCCACATGTTAGGGAACGACTCCCAAATTGGAAGAGGCTTGCCGTAGCATGTACCATAGTGTGCCATGATAGTCAGAGACGATACGCGATTCCTGAACGGGGCGCCACACGAAAGCGGGAGTAGGTGCTGAACGCACTGGGAAGGCCATCAAGAAGAGGAGCCACTCTATGTGAGAGCCCTGGAAAAGAGCTCCAGGGCCTTTTCATAGCATGGCTTTGCCTATTGGAGATGAGGCGACCCATCTCTCACATGAAACCTGTCCTTGGAGCTGCAAACACTGCCTTTCACAGAAAAAAAAGATACGGGCCAACAGCCCGAGACGATGCGCTTGATGAACAGCCTGGATTTGCACAGGGAAGTGGATGAAGCACTTTGAGTGCCCAACACCCGGATGCACGCGTGCCACAGGCCACATCAACCTGCAATGATGGAAAAACTGAACGTGTCTATATAATCTTTCCTTAGGATGGGAGTGGACGACTTTAAGCATCTTTAAGCTGAGTTTAAATGTTGGTTCATGTTGGTTCTTCCAGTGTGCACAGGAGTTGCTTGTATCTATTCTGTGTTTAATGTGTTCAATATAGAATTATTGTGTTGAAGCTTCCAGATGTTGACCAGGTGCTCCCAACAAAAGTCTTGCGTATCGGCCCTGAGGCATAAGGAATATGATGTTTTCGGGCAAAATTGTGCCGCAGAGACAGAGGTGTGATCAATAGGATTAAATTGGTCTTATATATATATATGGTTCTATTTTGGGTTGAAACATTCCAAAAGGCTGTAAACAACTCACATCCAGAACCCTTCCCATTCATGAATCTCATTTGTAGCAAATCCTGCCATCCCATGGCTTTGATGGGTCTCATCTAACGGGGATATCCAGATGTTGACCAAGCGACTGTGCGCCGGTCTGAGGCCATCGTTGCCCTCCGCCCACGATGGTGGGAAGCTGAGGTCAAAGATGGCGAAGGAATCCCAGGATGTGGTTGGATCAGGTTGGATCCACAGGAGTTCAGATATCTCTTGAAAGCATGTTAGGTACTGGTAAGTTGTTGGATCATGTTGGATCCAAAAACTTTGCACGACAAGGTGAAGCTTGTTGCCCAAAATAACCTATGGACCTGTTTCTACTTTCTTTTTGGGTTGCTCTCCAGCAATGACTCCGGCAGGGGTCTAACAGTACCCATCCTTCACAGGTAGCATTCTCACCCCAGCTGACTCAATAAGTGTCTTTTCGTGCACAGCTCGTTCATTGATCCCCCATGCCTTCGCCGACCCTTCGCTGACACAACACAGGTCGAGGGCCAGTCTCGGCTCACCGCCAGGGGTGCCCAGTCTCGGCTCACCGCTTTGTGGTCGACTTTTCACGCACGCGATCCGACCGAAACGTGGTCGACGAGGCAGTCGTGTGTTTCTTCCGCAGTGGCCGTTTTTTGGGTGGTTTGCTGCATGAATGATGGTGGTGCACGGGTGATGACTGGTGTCGAGGTTGGAATGTTGAAACCGAATGCCTTGACAGTAAATGCCATTGTCGGATTCATCAACGGAATTTTGCCTTCGATGGTTCATGGCCCTCAACGCTGAAGACCTTCACTTGATGAGAAACTCAACCATTTACGCCCATCGGCAGTCCGCAAGCACTTTGGAAGGGCCCGCCCTTCCAAGAATCAACCCCTTTGCGAGTCCCCTGAAGAGGGAGACCATTTCGTTCAGGAAGCAGCCAGGGTGTCTTCAGGCAAGACATGGCAAGACTGCGTATCATGGCCTCACCCTAGAAGTCCAATTCGACGATGCTTATCCTTAGTGAAGTAAAAGGAAGTTCCCTTTTCAGGTCCCTAAATCATCATGGTAACATGGACTTCACCACCGGTTGAACCTTGTATTTCTTCCTGGGGATCCTCCCAGAAGAACATTGCCTCCAAGTCGACCTGCCCCAAGAATCCGGGCCAGACCCCTGTGAAGGGTGAAGCATTCAGACTCCAGACCCCCAGGACCCCTGGACCTTCGGTGAAGAATGGGGTTGTGCCCCCCTTCTCCACCGTGGTTCTTCACCTCTCAGGGCGTTTGACCACCTCTGCGCTCCACCAGGATCGCTTCAATCAGACCGCCCCAGGCGGCGGGTCCTTTGGGCTGCGGGGGCGGTACCGTGTGTCAGTTGAGACCACCGGTTGGTGTCAGTTGATGTAAGAAGATGTAAGATGTATCCATGTTTGAAGGATTCCCCAGTTGGGGTATGAAAGGATTGAATCATGAGCATGTTTGGACCATTAACCTGGTAAGGTGATGTTGATCTTCTCGAATTGGGTGAGTCCAAATGGATTGCTTCAGATCACTGCCATTCCTGCCAAGTCCGAGGAGTTTGGCGTGGAGAGCTGCCCTCTGATGATTTCTCATGGGCCTTTTGGTGGAACCGCTTCCAATACTCAGACATGCTCAGAATGCTGAGCCAACAGCAACCCAACAGTTTCTGACCTTCTGGGCCTTCCAAAGTAAGACTGAACACCCCAACAGCTACGCCCCTACGCTACGCGCCTACGCTACGCGCCCAGTCCTGGGAACCCACGCGAGCCGACGGCGAGAGGAACAGCATCTCTCAGATCCATGGACTGATTGGTCCCTGTTTCAGGGGGTGGCTTTCTATAGACACGGATCCAAGACCGTGGGCCTGGCGGTGTGATCCACGACTGGGATTCCGTTTTTTTCCTTTTTCGGCTCAAAGCTACAGAAAGGGACAGTAAACGGAGCAACATTGGCTTTTGAAAAAGCCTATACCATCCTATATCTATAAGCACGCCTGCCGGCGTTTGCCATTCCTGTCGCTCCATAAATCAACCATCGCCCACACGGTTTCTTTCCCTAAGTGCTTGACAAGGGGGCTAGAACGTGCAATTTCACCCAACAAATGCCAAACTAGCTAGAAGTCAAGAACCCACAAACATTGAACACTCTGGGTGAGCACCTTGGTACTCTTTTTTGGGGGCTACGACAAGAAGAAGCTTAGCATTCCTTGCTTGGAAACATAAAAATCACAACCACAGCGACGCCATCAATAAGCACCAAGATCCATTTGGGCTGCTTAGAACCTCCCCTTCCCAGACATTTGCCCTGACATCCCCCCATTTCAGGCCCCTTTCAGGTGCGGTCCCCCCACACACGTGACCAACGCGGACAACGCGCGCCAGGCGGCTTCGGCTCTGCCACACCCACACCGCGGAACTGAGCTTCGGTGCTCTGAAGGACCCGTAGGGGCGGACTGAGCAGCTCGGGGTATGACTCGAGACTCGCAAGGAGGACGGTCCATTAGAGCCTCCCCCCCAGGTGAAACCTGATTTCACCGAGGACGAGTGGGCATGTATTGGTTTATTGCTGCGTCGATGACTTCCGCACTTCAAGAACCCATGTGGGCGTAAAGAGTGATGCCTCAAGAGCTTTGCATATTCTTATGTTTATATACATGATTCTACATGTGTCCTGTTTGTTTTTTCCCTTCGTGATCTATTATATATTACTATAGCTGTGGAGCTGGCTGTTTCTCATGTCATTCACAATTGCAGATTAAGACTGAAGTAATGCCAAAATCATTGCACGATGATATATACAAATGAACATGTTAATATTTTGGCATGTGTTGAGTTTTGAACCAGTTGGCCTTCTTAGACGGTAGCAGTGATCATGACCTAGCAATCCAAACATCTTGGTGCTAAAAGCCCGGGGAAGCACGGGGCCAGATCGCTCCCTTTTGCTTGCATCCTGTAAGTCTAAGAATTGACCAGAATTTACTTCTGGACGCCTTTGGAGAGGCTGATTTACAATTTATACAAGACCTATGTCAGAATATCACGTTCAGAATGCATGAAGTGTTTCAAGCTGTTGAAGGCCTCTCACTCGCCAAGTCAGGCAAGGATCAAGGATCGGAACACACCTTGTCTCAGCTTGTCTCCAAAGCATGGGTGAGTAGCGGACCCTATGGATTGAGGGAACATGATGGGACTCTAGCTTTTGAGAAAGATTCTTCGTCCCTGGGTATTCCCTCTACATCATCGTTCCATTATCATTGGGGGTCGTGTGTCGGGCGCCCCGCCCTGGTCACGAGGGCAAGGTGTTTCTCACGTTGTTGTTTTTTCTCGGCCCTGATCTCACGATCTCACCATTGTAAAGACCCGAAAGCAACAATGACCTCAAAATACCCCTCAAAACATCCAGCATGAGGCGGGGTTCTTCACATCGACCCCGTCACTTTGAGTCGGAGCCCCGTAAGAAAATGTGTTGGGATCGCTCAAAAGGCATTCGTTCCAAGTTGGAATCAACGAAGCAGTGTAGTCCTTGGCCCGGCGCAGTGTTTCGATTGGCCAACAGGAGCCCAGCTGGCACGTTGTCACCGCGCATCAGGCTGCGAACAGCTCAGTTGGCGGGGTTCACTCCAGTTTAGGAAAGGGAATTCATGCTGTGATTGGCTTCTCAGACTCAAAGATTGCTTTTTGAGCTCATTAGTTACGAGTGTTCCTCAGCTTCAAGAGGTTGGGCCGTCCATCAAACACAAGGGGAGGGTCGTGATGAAGCGCCGATCCAGCATGGGAGCTGCTCCATGCGCAGGAAGAACCTGGTGCACCTTGCCCATCCTGGTGCCTCAACCTGAGAGAACAGAGAAGGTTTGTAAGAGCCCAGGTGTGAAGATGAGCTGAGGAATCATCAGGATCATCATCATCCACATCCTGCCGCAATCATGCCACGCAATAGTCCACATCATGCCATTCACATCCATTCACATCTCCAAAAGCTCGAGGGTACTTGCTGCTGTTTGGGAGTGCGAGTCGCATGCACTTTTGACGCGATACTGTATGCGTTGCATGAAAACCTGTCCATAAAAATAATCGGACTATATGCGAAGTTGCTAAGGACTTATCTGTCTAGTCTATGAAGAAGGACAAATCATTGACAAGAAATTGCATATGCAAATATCTGTAACAAATATGACTGTTTCTATCTATTTTGAATAGCATATGTTTAAACATGTTTAAACTAATTCTACAGCTAGGTGACAGAAAAGAGCCCGAAAGCGTCGACAGGCATGTAGGTAGACCAGAAAGAATCTACAAATTAAGAAACTATGCATCAAAATTGGAATGCAAGGAAGCCAAAAAAATGATCCGTTATATATGTATGTATATACATATACCACTCTCTTATTGACAAACAACACTCGATTGAAAGGGCTTCAACAGCGGGTCAACAGGCTGTTTGGGTGGAAGACGGGGTACGCATGTGTGTAGTGATGTACTGGTATATAATAAGCTAT